AATGCCTTTGTGTAATCTGTAAAACACAGGTGCACGTCCTTCTGCATTTGTATTGCTCTTTCTGATAACATTCTGAGCATAAATATAGCGTTCTTGTTTCAGTAGCTTTGACGAACCCGCACTGATCTTGTCCTATCTCCGGTTTGATTCTGCTATGACCTCTATTCAACAGAATTCGGATGATCAGTTTTGTTATTACACCTCTTCTCCCTGACCAGCTATAAGTAAATTAGTAAGATTTATATCAGTAATTCTTTATTATCTCAAAAAATTCTTACAATCTAAAACATATTTCTGGCTTTAAATAACCTGAAAAGGGTTGATAAGCCGTAAAAACAAAATCACTAACAAAGTCGAACTATCGGGCAGCATTTAAGCTAGCACTTGCGTAGGGCTCTTGATTGGGCCTTCATCACAATAGGTAGAAGTGATAGGCAACAATAAACCACAGAACTCAAAATTCATCGCTGCATATTGCATTAATATGTAAATATTGCTTCAATATTTAAACTTATCCTTTAAAAGTGCAACGATAATTCTTCTGCTGCCACTTAAAGACATTTTGATGTACGTAGGTCCTTACTTTCCGTACAAACAATTATTGTTATTTCACGGGTGACTTTCGCTGGATTTCGCAATTAATTTCGATTATTCCCAAATTTAATTCCAAGTTATAAAAATTGTTATCGTACAAAAAATTCGTCGCAAAAAATCGCCGAAAACAATCGCAGTAATGAAAACTTGGGAATCCAAAATTTCAGGATTGGGGGTCTGGATCCGGCCTTGAATGTTTTTATTTTGCTCAAAGAGTCAGCCTGATTCCAAAATGGTATCATATGTTGGGCTATGGCCTCTAGGATTAAAGTTGAAAACAAGGACAATTTTATTTTGAAACACTGTAATTTGAGAACAGTATTTTTTCATTTGGACATGAACTATTAAAAGTTAAAGAGTTGTTTCCCTTTAAGTAGAAAATGTGTGACACAGTGACACACTGACATTCGCATTTATGATATAGATCAAGTTGATTACGTTTCCTTAAATGGTTTTATATATTTTTTTTCTTTTTCTATTTATCTGGTGGCTTATATGTCGTTTCTTTTGATTTTTTTACATATGTCGTTTTTGAAGTTTCATTAGCTAAATACATACATATAAAAATCTTAGAAATGATTAAAGATATTTTACTGGAATTTTCCGAGGTTTTTATAAAACTATTGGGCTCTCCTTTGAGCAGCAAGAATGTATAATTACTCTCTAAGCTTAACAGAAGAATCGTGAGGAAATCGATCATAAACGAAAATGAAATGTTCATCATCAATTAATCATAGCCAAGGATCGGAAGCTCATGAAGGATTGAAATAAAGTTCAAATATATATATTATTCCAGGATCATTTTCGAACATTCAAGATGATCCTCGTCCTCTCTAACCTTCTAAATTTCTGTCCTAGGTTAACAAGGTGCCTCACACGTTTCACGTACGATTTCATTTGGAAGTCTTTTTTTTTCTTTCACTGCTCATGAACTATCATTGCTGAAATTCATCTCTCAAGTGCCAAACGTCTTATGAATTAAGTTGGATCTTCTCTAATTGATCTCATTAGCGCTAAGTTGAATGATAACCCCTCTTCCAGTTGTAACCTTTTCCTCTTTTTTAAACTTAAAATTCTCTTGATGGTTCTTGAATGAACTTTAAAGATGAAAGCCAGACTATGAATGGTCGTGCCATTATTGAAGGCCTGAATGCTCTTTTCCCCTCGCCATTACTCAGTTAGGAAGACAGTGGGGCTGACACAAAACAATTTTAGCCTGCTATCAATATGGGGATATTGTGAGATATTGCCGTGGTCCCCTGGATTAGTGGATTAGGGGTAATTATTAGGTTGGTGCCAAAATAATGACGTAATAATGTCGTTTTTTGACGTATTTTTTAACGTCAAAAAACGACACTATTACGTCATTATTTTTGCACCAACCTAATATATTTTCTTTCTGAAACCAACATTTATACCCATGGTTGTCATATAATGAAAGCTATGTTTTACCAACGGCTTCATTTTTGAGGTAACAGTGCGATGATATATATGTATGTACACCAACCTACCTACCTCTATCCCTTTGTATACTTTATCTATCTGTCCGATGATATCAGACTCACTGTTTAACCATCTGTATCTATTCTAAGGCACTGGGCTAATACAAACAAAATTGGAACTGTACGCGTCAAGTCAGTTTGTGATATTCAATCATTGCGTTTTGTTTGTCTTTAATAGTAAACAAAATGGCGCGCAGAGACAGATTGAAAAATTGTTTTTTTCCGAGATCAATGCGAAATGAATTATTAGAAATGCAGAAGCAAGAAATAAAAATTAAAATGGCTGATATGTACACCATCAGCAACATGAACAAATAAATAAATAATCGTTCCATCACTGTCTGAATTTCTCTAATTTTTCTTTTATATACAACATTAAATTTTTATGCATTTTTTTGTTTTTTTTAATTTATTGTTGGAAATAATTAGATTACGTCCGTGCTTCACCAAAACAGGCTTACCACCAAGAATAATAACTATAATAACGATTGACGTGTCATGATGATAATGACAATGATGATGAAGAGGAAAGGGAAGAGTAATCAGGAAAGGAGAAAGAGGAGACGAAAACAGTGTAAGAAGAGGTCACGTTGGGAGAGGAGGAGATGTAAAGGAAGAGAAGTGCTTAAAACGAAGAGGCGGAAAGAGAGAAAAAAGAGACGAATCTGGAGGAGAGAGAAACACAAATGTCAGAAAACCAGAGAAGGAAGAGGAGGGGGAGACGAAGACGTAAAGGAAGAGGGGTAGAGTCTAAATGCAGGAGGCGAAAAGGGAGAAGAAAGAGACGAATTTGGAAGGGGAAGAGGAGGAGTAGAGGAAAAGAGCGGGAAACAAAAATGGTAGAAGATCAGATGAGGAGGAGCAGGAAGAGGAGGGGTAGAGTCTAAAAGCAGGAGGCGAAAAGGGAGAAGAAAGAGACGAATTTGGAAGGGGAAGAGGAGGAGGAGAGGAAAAAGAGCGAGGAAACAAAAATGGTAGAAGATCAGATGAGGAGGAGCAGGAAGAGGAGGGGTAGATTCTAAAAGCAGGAGGCGAAAAGGGAGAAGAAAGAGACGAATTTGGAAGGGGAAGAGGAGGAGGAGAGGAAAAGAGCGGGAAACAAAAATGGTAGAAGATCAGATGAGGAGGAGCAGGAAGAGGAGGGGTAGATTCTAAAAGCAGGAGGCGAAAAGGGAGAAGAAAGAGACGAAATTAAAGGGGAAGAGGAGGAGTAGAGGAAAAGAGCGGGTAACAAAAATGGTAGAAGATCAGATGAGGAGGAGCAGGAAGAGGAGGGGTAGAGTCTAAATGCAGGAGGCGAAAAGGGAGAAGAAAGAGACGAATTTGGAAGGGGAAGAGGAGGAGGAGATGAAAAGAGCGAGAAACAAAAATGGTAGAAGATCAGATGAGGAGGAGCAGGAAGAGGAGGGTAGATTCTAAAGCAGGAGGCGAAAAGGAAAAGAAAAGACGAATTTGGAAGGGGAAGAGGAGGAGGAGATGAAAAGAGCGAGAAACAAAAATGGTAGAAGATCAGATGAGGAGGAGCAGGAAGAGGAGGGGTAGATTCTAAAAGCAGGAGGCGAAAAGGGAGAAGAAAGAGACGAATTTGGAAGGGGAAGAGGAGGAGGAGAGGAAAAGAGCGAGAAACAAAAATGGTAGAAGATCAGATGAGGAGGAGCAGGAAGAGGAGGGGTAGAGTCTAAAAGCAGGAGGCGAAAAGGGAGAAGAAAGAGACGAATTTGGAAGGGGAAGAGGAGGAGGAGAGGAAAAGAGCGGAAAACAAAAATGGTAGAAGATCAGATGAGGAGGAGCAGGAAGAGGAGGGGTAGATTCTAAAAGCAGGAGGCGAAAAGGGAAAAGAAAGAGACGAATTTAAGGGGAAGAGGAGGAGTAGAGGAAAAAGAGCGAGAAACAAAAATGGTAGAAGATCAGATGAGGAGGAGCAGGAAGAGGAAAGGGGAATTGGAAGGGGGGAAGAGGAGAGTCTAAATGGAGGAGCAGGAAAAAGGAGGAAGAAAAGAGATAAATTTGGAAGGGAAGAGGAGGAGGAGATGAAAAGAGCGAGAAACAAAAATGGTAGAAGATCAGATGAGGAGGAGCAGGAAGAGGAGGGGTAGATTCTAAAAAGCAGGAGGCGAAAAGGAAAGAAAGAAAAGACGAATTTGGAAGGGGAAGGAGGAGGAGGAGATGAAAAGAGCGAGAGAAACAAAAATGGTAGAAGATCAGATGAGGAGGAGCAGGAAGAGGAGGGTAGATTCTAAAGCAGGAGGCGAAAAGGGAGAAAGAAAGAGACGAATTTGGAAGGGGAAGAGGAGGAGGGAGGGAAAAGAGGAGAAACAAAATGGTAGAAGATCAGATGAGGAGGAGCAGGAAGAGGAGGGTAGAGTCTAAAAAAGCGAAAAGGAGGCGAAAAGGGGAAGAAGAAAGAGACGAATTTGGAAGGGGAAGAGGAGGAGGAGAGGAAAGAGGAGGGAAAACAAAAATGGTAGAAGATCAGATGAGGAGGAGCAGGAAGAGGAGGGGTAGATTCTAAAAGCAGGAGGCGAAAAGGGAGAAGAAAGAGACGAAATTAAAGGGGAAGAGGAGGAGTAGAGGAAAAGAGCGGGAAACAAAAAAATGGTAGAAGATCAGATGAGGAGGAGCAGGAAGAGGAGGGTAGATTCTAATGCAGGAGGCGAAAAGGAGAAGAAAGAGACGAATTTGGAAGGGGAAGAGGGAGGAGGAGATGAAAAGAGCGAGAAACAAAAATGGTAGAAGATCAGATGAGGAGGAGCAGGAAGAGGAGGGTAGATTCTAAAAAGCAGGAGGCGAAAAGGAAAAGAAAGAGACGAATTTGGAAGGGGAAGAGGAGGAGGAGATGAAAAAGAGCGAGAAACAAAAATGGTAGAAGATCAGATGAGGAGGAGCAGGAAGAGGAGGTAGATTCTAAAAAGCAGGAGGCGAAAAGGGAGAAAGAAAAGACGAATTTGGAAGGGAAGAGGAGGAGGAGAGGAAAAGAGCGAGAAACAAAAATGGTAGAAGATCAGATGAGGAGGAGCAGGAGGAGGAGGGGGATTCTAAAAGCAGGAGGCGAAAAGGAGAAGAAAGAGACGAATTTGGAAGGGGAAGAGGAGGAGGAGAGGAAAAGAGCGGAAAACAAAAATGGTAGAAGATCAGATGAGGAGGAGCAGGAAGAGGAGGGTAGATTCTAAAAGCAGGAGGAAAAAAGGAGAAGAAAGAGACGAAATTAAAGGGAAGAGGAGGAGGAGAGGAAAAGAGCGGGTAACAAAATGGTAGAAGATCAGATGAGGAGGAGCAGGAAGAGGAGGGTAGATTCTAAATGCAGGAGGCGAAAAGGGGAGGAAGGAGAAAGAAAAGAGTAGAGGGAAAAACACAAATGGTAGAAGATTTGGAAGGGGAAAAGGAGGAAAGGAGATGAAAGAGGAAAGAGCGAGAAACAAAAATGGTAGAAGATCAGATGAGGAGGAGCAGGAAGAGGAGGGGTAGATTCTAAAAGCAGGAGGCGAAAAGGGAAAAGAAAGAGACGAATTTGGAAGGGGAAGAGGAGGAGGAGATGAAAAGAGCGAGAAACAAAAATGGTAGAAGATCAGATGAGGAGGAGCAGGAAGAGGAGGGGTAGATTCTAAAAGCAGGAGGCGAAAAGGGAGAAGAAAGAGACGAATTTGGAAGGGAAGAGGAGGAGGAGAGGAAAAGAGCGAGAAACAAAAATGGTAGAAGATCAGATGAGGATGAGGAGGAGGCAGGAAGAGGAGGTAGATTCTAAAAGCAGGAGGCGAAAAAAGGAGAAGAAAGAGACGAATTTGGAAGGGGAAGAGGAGGAGGAGAGAAAAGAGCGGAAAACAAAATGGTAGAAGATCAGATGAGGAGGAGCAGGAAGAGGAGGGTAGATTCTAAAAGCAGGAGGCGAAAAGGAGAAGAGAGAGAAATTAAAGGGGAAGAGGAGGAGTAGAGGAAAAGAGCGGGTAACAAAATGGTAGAAGATCAGATGAGGAGGAGCAGGAAGAGGAGGGTAGATTCTAAAAGCAGGAGGCGAAAAGGGAGAAGAAAGAGATGAATTTGGAAGGGAAGAGGAGGAGGAGAGGAAAAGAGCGGGAAACAAAAAAAATAGAAGATCAGATGAGGAGGAGCAGGAAGAGGAGGGGTAGATTCTAAAAGCAGGAAGCGAAAAGGGAGAGAAGAAAGAGACGAATTGGAAGGGAAGGGAAGGAGGCGAGAAACAAAAAATGGAGAAGAAAGAAGGAGCAGGAAGGGAAACAAAATGGTAGAGAAGATAAGAAAGGAGAAAAAGCAGGAAACAAAAGGAGGAAGAAGGAGACGAAGATGCAAAGCAAAGAAAAGAAGTAGAGTCTAAAAGCACGAGGTGAAAAGGGAGCAGAATCAGACGAACTTGGAGGAGAAAGAAACACAAATTGTAGAGGTCCACAGGGTGGGGGGAAGACGAAAATGCAAAGGAAGGAAGAAAAGTATAAAAAAGCAGGATGAGAAAAGGGAAGAAAGAGACAAATTTAGAAGAGGAAGAGGGGTAAAAGGAGGGAACCAAAAATGGTAGTAGACCAGAAGAGGAGGAGGATGCGGAGACGAAGATGTAAAAGAAGAAGGGAAGAGTTTAAAAGCAGGAGGCGAAAAAGAGAAGAAAGTGACGAATTTGGAAGAGGAAGACGAAGAGGAGGATGGGAAAAGAGTGGGAAACACAAATGGTAGAAGACCAGAGATGGAGGAGACCAGGAAGAAGGAGGAGACGAAGACGTAAAGGAAGAGGGGTAGAGGAAAAGGGCGGGCAGGAGACGAAAGGAGCAGGGAGAAGATTCTAAAAGAGACAATTTGGAAGGGGAAGAAGGGAGGAGGGGAGGAAAAGAGCAGGAAACAAAAATGGTAGAAGATCAGATGAGGAGGAGCAGGAAGAGGAGGTAGATTCTAAAAGCAGGAAGCGAAAAGGGAAAAGAAAGAGACGAATTTGGAAGGGAAGAGGAGGAGGAGAGGAAAAGAGCGGGAAACAAAATGGTAGAAGATCAGATGAGGAGGAGCAGGAAGAGGAGGGTAGATTCTAAAAGCAGGAAGCGAAAAGGGAGAAGAAAGAGACGAATTTGGAAGGGGAAGAGGAGGAGGAGAGGAAAAGAGCGGGAAACAAAAATGGTAGAAGATCAGATGAGGAGGAGCAGGAAGAGGAGGGGTAGATTCTAAAAGCAGGAGGCGAAAAGGGAGAAGAAAGAGACGAATTTGGAAGGGGAAGAGGAGGAGTAGAGGAAAAGAGCGGGAAACAAAAATGGTAGAAGATCAGATGAGGAGGAGCAGGAAGAGGAGGGGTAGATTCTAAAAGCAGGAGGCGAAAAGGGAGAAGAAAGAGATGAATTTGGAAGGGGAAGAGGAGGAGGAGAGGAAAACAGCGAGAAACAAAAATGGTAGATCAGATGAGGAGGATCAGGAAGAGGAGGGTAGATTCTAAAAGCAGTAGGCGAAAAGGGAAGAAAGAGATGAATTTGGAAGGGGAAGAGGAGGAGGAGAGGAAAAGAGCGAGAAACAAAAATGGTAGAAGATGAGGAAGGAAGAGGAGATTCAAAAGCAGTAGGCGAAAGCAGGATTTGGAAGGGAAGAGACGGAGAGGAAAAGAAAGGGAAACAAAAATGGTAGAAGAAAAGGAGAAGAGAGAAGTCTAAAAAAACGAAAGAGTCTAAAAAAGCACGAGGTGAAAAGGGAGCAGAATCAGACGAACTTGGAGGAGAAAGAAACACAAATTGTAGAGGTCCACAGGGGGGGGGGAGAAGACGAAAATGCAAAGGAAGGAAGAAAAAGTATAAAAAGCAGGATGAGAAAAGGAGAAGAAAGAGACAAATTTAGAAGAGGAAGAGGGGGTAAAAAGGAGGGGAACCAAAAAATGGTAGTAGACCAGAAGAGGAGGAGGATGCGGAGACGAAGATGTAAAAGAAGAAGGGAAGAGTTTAAAAGCAGGAGGCGAAAAGAGAGAAGAAAGTGACGAATTTGGAAGAGGAAGACGAAGAGGAGGATGGGGAAAAGAGTGGGAAACACAAATGGTAGAAGACCAGAGAAGGAGGAGACGAAGACGTAAAGGAAGAGGGGTAGAGTCTAAAAGCAGGAGACGAAAGGGGAGAAGAAAGAGACGAATTTGGAAGAGGAAGAGGAAGAGGAGGATTGGGAAAGTGGGGAAACACAAATGGTAGAAGACCAGAGAAGGAGGAGACGAAGACGTAAAGGAAGAGGGGTAGAGTCTAAAAGCAGGAGACGAAAGGGGAGAAGAAAGAGACGAATTTGGAAGAGGAAGAGGAGGAGGAGGAGGGGGAAAGAGTGGGAAACACAAATGGTAGAAGACCAGAGAAGGAGGAGACGAAGACGTAAAGGAAGAGGGGTAGAGTCTAAAAGCAGGAGACGAAAAGTGAGAAGAAAGAGACGAATTTGGAAGAAGAGGAGGAGGGGGGAAAGAGTGGGAAACACAAATGGTAGAAGACCAGAAAAGGAGGAGACAAAGACGTAAAGGAAGAGGGGTAGAGTATAAAAGCAGGAGGCGAAATGGGAAAAGAAAGAGACGAATTTGGAAGAGGAAGAGGAGGAGGTGGGATGAGCGGGAAACAAAATGGTAGGAGACCAGAGAAGGAGGAGGAGGAGACGAAGATGTAAAGGAAGAGGGGTAGAGTCTAAAAGCTGAAGGCGAAAAGGGAGCAGAAAGAGACGAATTTGAAAAAGGAAGAGAATGAGGGGAGCAAAAAGGAGATGGAAGCAAAAACGATAGAAAACCAGGAGAAGGCGATGATGATGGGGACAAAGAGGCAACAAAGGATATTAGGGAGGAAAAGAGAAAGTCAGTGGCGCGAAAAAAGACCAGCAGGCAAAAGAAAAGGATGAAAAAGGAAGAGAAATCTAAGAAAAGGAGATGGAGACGATTAAAAAAGGAATAAAAATGATGGAGGACAAGGCAAAAAAAAGAAATGAGAAGGAAATGAATAAAAGAGAAAAAGAAGTAGAATGAAACCAGAAAAGAAGGAATATAGGAAAAGATGAGGAATAGAAAACATAATAGGGGAGGAGGAGTTATAAAAAAGAAAAAAGGGGGGGGGCAAAAAAGAAGAAGGTGTAGAAAACCAAAAAGAAAGAGAAAAAGACATTCTAAGTTAAATAAAATCAACACCATCTCCAAGAATGAAAAACAATCTTTCAGTGAAGAATTCGCCCACAAAATCAAATAAATGAATATAAAGATTTTTTTTTAAATTAAATGACGAAAGACCCCTTGAACCCGATATATCCCCCTGTACATTGTGCATGAGCTGAAGGAATTAGTGAGTATAGGATAATCATTTTTTTTTAATCGATTCACTCCAAGCAAGGCGGGAAGCCACTAGTACGCAAGGGGTTACAGAAGATTTGGAACGAGAGCAGATAGGAGTGATAGAGGAAAGGATGAGGAGAAGGATGAAAAAAAATATAAATGAGGGCCACGCTTGTCGGTTAAGGATTTGTAAATTAGTCTCGTAAAGCATTGGTGTAAAGCAAAACAAATCCCTAATGGCATGTTAAGTGGGTTAGGGTGAAGTGCAATGCGTACAGGCTAAGTGAATAAAAAACGTGGAGACAGAGCTTCGAAAAGAGATGAACCCACATTACTTTTGTTTTTTCTCATTTAACAAAACATAAATTGAAAAAAATTGACTGAACCCCCATATGTAGAAAGAGACATGAGGCAATAGAGGTGTGGCTCTACAGAAAAAAAATACGGCGATTAACACGGACTGAAAATATGAGAAACCAGAAGTTTTAAAGGAAAATGGAAGCAAAAAGGACGCTTATACAGTGTAACCCGGATATAAGAGAAACCCGCCGGATATAAGAGAGATTTTCTCTGGTCCCAAATTAGAGCCTGTGTTAATGTATATAAAATAGACCAAACCCGGATATAAGAGAAACCCGGATATAAGAGACTTCTTCTCTGGTTCCAAATTAGAGCCTGTGTTAATGTATATAAAATAGACCAAACCTGGATATGAGAGAAACTCGGATATAAGAGACTTCTTCTCCGGTCCCGACAACTCTCTTATATCCGGGTTACACTGTATTTAGAATCAGTAAGAGACAGTTGAAATATCCGGGATACATATTATTATGTATCTAAGAAAAGGAGATGGAGACAATTGAAAAAGGAATAAAATATGATGGAGGACAAGGCAAAAAAAAGAAATGAGAAGGAAATGAATAAAAGAGAAAAAGAAGTAGAATGAAACCAGAAAAGAAGGAATGTAGGAAAAGATGAGGAATAGAAAACATAATAGGGGAGGAGGAGTTAAAAAACAGAAAAAAAAGGAGGGGGGCAAAAAAGAAGAAGGTGTAGAAAACCAAAAAGAAAGAGAAAAAGACATTCTAAGTTAAATAAAATCGACCTTTGAGAATTTGACACCCGACGGATATATTGAAGTCTGGAGGGTGAAAAAGAAACAGCGAGTAATTTACGTAACTAGTTAGGGTATGTCGGTGGCAGTGCAGGG